TTTGAGTGAGCCCTTCAGCTGAGTACCATTCGGTGCCCCCACTAAGGCGAACTGCTCCCCAAGCGATCATTTCACGTCATGTCTGCGTGACTGCTTTCTCTCACGGAATAATTAGCCGGCGTATAAAACCATTCTAACCCCTCCTTCTCCCCCCTCCCTCCCACCTAAATTATGTGCATTTGAATCCTTCATCAAAATGTTTTCATTTTTCGTCCAAAATTTCCATGACAGGGAATTCCAATTAGCGAAATGATTTTTTTTGCAAAACAGAATGCGTGCAGACTTGATTATATGACTGTTCTCTAATTTTTCCAGAAAATTCGGCGTGAAAATGATTGATTACAGTGTTGCGTTGTGCCATGATAGATAGCTGTTCAAGACGATTCGCTTGTTGCGCAGCGATCGGGGCAATTGATGCGCTTTTTGACCCTAAAGCAGTTCAATGGGCGTGATAATCCAAGGTCGCCCTGATTATTAGTGATTCAACGAATTGGATGAGAATATCGGCGGAAATGGGCCAGACCTGACTAGGTGTTGTGATGTTTGCTTTCTTAGCGTTGTTGGCAATAGTCGCAGTTCATGACGGAGGCGTTCACTGCACGTCAGGAAGTCGTTGCTTCTTTGCTGCATTCGACAAGGGGTCCTATCTAGGGCGTAGTCCTATCTAAAAGGTTAAGGTTCTAGGAAGGCGGAAGGTTTCACCTTCTTCTTAGATGTAAAGTTCGAACTGGACATTGAAGTGGAAGATGGCTTTCTATAGTATCTAGGGCATTCCAGAAATTTCTTTTCGGTTTTTTTTTCTTGAATATAGCGGAACCAGTGCATGCATCCCGCGCAGGCGCAGTCTTATCCCTTTGTAGATCTTTTTTTTTTTCGAGTTCTAGTTCTCCTCAGGGTTGTTCTCGCTGACGGCGCAGTTCCGGCGACGGCATCGTGGGGGGGGGGCATTTCGACCTTGCTACTTCCCCATCCGACGTTGTTGGCCTATCTAGACTAGCCTTCTTCTCCAACTTTACAGCGTTTACCTTAATGGCTTTGACGGAAGCTCTGCACCCAGCTCTTCACAAGAGTTCACACAGGTTTCGCCGCATCGTTGACCCGTCCCGCTTCAAAAGCTCTTCCTGAGCAAGCTAGCCGGTCCGCACTGGCCTGCGAGCGCAGGTAAACTACTTTCTCGCCTTTGAAAACCACGTAATAAGAGCGTTAGCCACTTGTGACGAATGCGATGCCCCACCCACTGCCTTATGCCACGTCCACGCTCATTTCTAACGTCTGTGTAATGCTGCGATTCCCACTGCTTCCTCTTTCTATTTCGAATGATGAGTGTGATAAGGAGGGAACAGCTGATGTCACCGCAATACCAAGAAGTGGGAGCTCGTCCAACCACGCCCTCTCTTCGCTGCATGCTCCGCTGCAGCGAAGAGAGGGCGTGCGTCCGCTGCATGAGGCCGATCATTTCCGATCTCAGGATGTGCTCTAAAGGCAGTGGGCACTATTGCTGGAGGCGTGCGGTTGTCATTGGTCGAAGGCCTGCAACAGAGCGTGCAGCCAACGATGACCTTGGCAACAAGCCCCCCCCCGCCTCCAGCAATCGTGTCCACTGCCTTCAGGTCACCGAATTCGCTATAAAATTGTTTCTAAGGATAACGTCATCCCCTCAATAAAGCGTTTGGCGCTGGCAGCATTACAGGCCTGTGACGCGGATATTTGTGGGATAAGGCATTTTGACGTCATCACATGCGATATGTGTGTTCAAGGGATCAAACCTCCCTTAGGTGCGAATTTCAGGCCATAATATACCTCAAAGACAAATTCCTGGCCAAGTATAACCGCAAGGACGAGTTACTATAAAAGTCTACCTTGTACGTCAAAAATTAGGGCAGCAAAGGCCGCTCTCGCTGTAAAGTGACCTATGAATTCCAGGCCCCTACTTTTTTTGTACCGGTGAATTAGTCGCTTTGCAGGCTCCCGTCAACAAGTTTTTTTGTTTTGTCCTTGAATGTGAAAGTGTGTGAAAATTTCGTCTCACTGACGTGACCAAAAACGCCACTGACGCTTTCATTCGTCTTACTTACCTTAACTAAATTAGGCTGTTTCAGATGCCTCCCGATGCAGCACCCGAACCCGACGCGAATGTTGTCGAGCAGGTCTCTCTTAGTTTTCTTAGTTTCGGCCAACTATACCCTCAGCTTCTTTCTCAGTTCCACAAATAAGCATGTTTCCAGGTCCGTTCACAAGTGCTCGACCTCCTCCATCCCCGCTACGACACCCATTTCAACATTCTACGATGGTTACAATCATGTGAATATAACGTGCCGAAGACAGTTCACAACCTTCGGAAACATCTGAGGTGGAGAAAAGAACGCCATCTGGACGAGGATGGTCGTGGCCTTCAAAGTTGTGCAGTCAGTTCTTCTCGGCCTCGTTCCCATGGCATTTTTTACATCTATTTGGGAAATGATGGAAGTTTTAGGTGACAGCTGAATATGCGCCAGTCTCGATTTTGCGCAAATTCGAAGACGGAGACCGATTAATCGTCGTTGACCAAAGCGGTGAGGCGTGCCCGGACAACTTTTCCAACTAGTGCGGTTGCAAAAGGGATGGGCTTCCCTGTTTTGGAGCGTTTAAAGAGTTTGAGCTCGTACACGCACTGCGGCAGAAAGTTGCAGCCCTCTGCATTTTTCAGCCAGATCCGCGCCATCTGTTGGAATCCGAAACAAGGACGGGGGTCACAATTGGCACGGGGATAAATTTTTGCCTATGCGAAAGGGTTTGGAAGTAGCTGCTATTTTGGCATCTGTTACCCAAGGTTGTGTGCGTAGGCCTGGGGAGGGGCACAGAGAGGTCAAGAGGTCAAGACGTTACATATCCTATTGCCTGCTGCCCAATGGAGAGTACGAGTTAACTCAACGATTTTGTCTCCAGTGAGTTCCGAAAGGCCGATCCTTGTGGTATCGTGCTTCGGGACAAGCTTGCATTGTGCTGTCCCCATTGTCGATGTCCTTACCCGGTTATCTGTCTAAGAAACCCTCGCACCAATGGAAAGGCACGAACGCACGCACTGACTCCGCCATACGATCAGCGCGGAGTGTGCCTTCGGACAGGTACCCACAGTTGTTTTCGCTGCAGAGCTGAGGCTTGTCAGAAGTAATATTTGGCGCAGCGCCAGCCCGTTCCCTACCATTTGTCGAAACGGCCCTGTACCTGCGCCTGCAATGAAAGCCTTGAACCTTTCTCGGATGGTATCCCAAGGGTTTCTCTTTCAACCAGTTTTCCACTCCTGTCATAGTTAGATAATCGATTTCAACGACAATGATAACTTCAGGTCGGATCGATATCGGAGGAGTGATGAAAATCGATTTCAACCGACTCAATACGCTACATCAGTTATTCCGTAATTTCGAAAAAAATGCTGACAATCTTGAATGAGGTACGGACCTGGCAATCTTATAGTTGATATCGTCGCAATCAGTCGGGGCGGCGTCAAAAGGGGTGGAATGAGCTCACCCGCGGCAGCGTCTTCTACCAAAAGTGGCCTAACTGTTCTCTATTCGGACCCACCATTATTGGTGGAAAACGCAGTGTGGGCGGGCGCTTTCCAGGCTTACAGACCCGCCTGGTTGTGACGATATCCACTGTGTGTGGTATCACTGTCTTCGCCCTTGAGCTCTAGTGATATCATCTCATCTTGGCAACGAGTCATGACCAAGCCACTTGAAGGCGCAGTCCACGCTAGTGGCATGGGCGGAGTCAGACCCCACATTGTCAGGCAGAGGGCCTACCATAGTACCTCCTGTGTTCTCTTTTTGGACCATCTTTAGGGAATAGAAAAGGAGAGAATGAAACGTGTTAAAGCTAACTTCAGAAGGGAAAAGCTGTTTGGTGAAGTTTTTTTGTTTTTTTTTCAGCCATTAGCTATAATTTTTTTCGTCGCCTCACTGAGAAACCACCTGCGTTGTGAGCTTCTGCTTCTTATAAAGGGGCTGAGGTTGACGAAACAAGGAAAGGGGAGTATTGCGAAAGATGCACCAATGATGAAAACACAGCGCTAGGTCTGACCCCGCCTATGCGGCCAACGTAGACTAGTTTCAAAAGAAGTTTCTCTTTCAGATGGAAGCGAAGACGGGTGTTCAGTGCTCTGTATACTACGTCTTCGATCTTGAAGATCTCAGTTTCGATCCCTCACTTCTAGGAATCCTCAGCGGTATGTCATAAGTTCGTTGACGTAACCCACTACCTTCAGGCTAGCAGTGCTTGTCGGGGCTATTCTTGCATTTCCAGGTCCTTTCCGGGTCTCGTGGCAGTTGATAGGTCAACATTATCGAGAGTTCATCAATCGATTTATCGTCATCAATGCTCCCAGTTACATTAATGTGCTTTGGTGAGTTTGTTTAATAAAATAGTATAGAAATACAGTAACTTAGCCTTTCAATGCTTCTGGGATTGATAATTTTGATTTTGCCCTTTCAGGAGCGCTATTTCGCCATTTATACCGGAAGGTGCCAAGAGTCGAATAGCGATCACCGGGAAAACTTGGCCAGAAGAGATATTGGAGTTGGCCGACCGCGACTGCCTTCCTGAACGATACGGTGGAGAAGTTCCCGACGAGAAAGTGCTAAGGTACACAGATAAGCCAGCTATAAAACTTTCGATCTAAATCGCCTTATTCCGCTGTAAATATGTCAACACTAGTACAATTAGAAGCAACAAAAAACAAAATATTGGAAAAAGAATATACTCCAAAGCACAGATGATCCGTTTCGCTTCGTTTTGATTCGTTTTCCTAGTACAACAAAGAGGATCGATATTGAAAGTTCTTATTCCTTATCATTTCAACCTCGCCGCCATCGGCTAGTGTTTCCTGTAGAACGTCCTGATTTGATTTCCGTTTAGTGGTGCTCCGAAATCATCTGCGTACGAATCGTAGCTGGAATATCGACAGTTGATATCGTCGCAGTCACTTGGAGCAATGTCAGGAGGCAGGGGAGCAATGTCAGGAGGCAGGAAATGAGCTCATCCGCAGTCGCAGTCTTTTCTACCACTGGATGTTTTCTATCTAAAACTGTCACTATTGGTAGAAAAAGCAACGAGGATGGACACAGTTACCCGCTTCTTGATACCGTCCTGCCGCCACGGTAGCAGCTATTTGCAGCTGAATGCTATTCGGAATAGTGACTGAACGAAAGAAATTTTCTTATTTTTGCTGCAAATTCTCCACATTACCCACTGTGTCTTAGCAAACCCCGCATGGGAAGACGCCCCAGAATACCCACTCAACAAATTCCACCATGAACGGAAACGAAAGCTCACAAAACCTCTGATGAATTACGACGGTTTCGAATAATGTGGTGTGTGGGCCTTGCAAAAGCCCACTCGTCATCGCTTATACAGTTCAGCTTGATGGGGGCACAGTATTCTTTCCAGCTAAGTATGCACAGGATACCTTGTCAAAACTTGTGAAGTCTCGTGAACGAAGTTACTTATTAGTGTCATTTCAGAGTTTCACGAGTTGTACTCAGGTCTCACCAACATGAACACTGATCACATCATCGTTAATCCAAAGAAAGTAGGCGTGTGCATTTAGACATTGCCAGTAGCAGTGTTACTCGTGAGATATTTACACTTGGGCAACATGACATACTTTGTATCTGCCGTTAGCCAAAAGACATGTAGCAATTGTATCAGTGAGTCCTTACCAAAAGCACAGTCACCACACATTTACTTGAAGTCGAAGCCACGCCTACCGCATCTCTGAGATCCCGAGTGTACTTAAAATGAACTGAGGAATGGAAAAAGCGAGAGAGCGAAGTGCCGCCTCCAAGCGGAACAGCGCCTATTTTTTCTTTACATGACTTCGGGACCGGACTTTGTTACGGTCTAGCTGTTTATCTTCAGCATAATGAGTCCTAGGTCATTTAAGGTCCCCCCGTGTCAGGACGATTTCCTAGTCCCTAGGGCCTTCCAATTTTACATTTGCCGTGGACTGTAATGCCGAATTAAACAGCTTCTAGCAAGCTAGTCCCTTCATTCCTTGCTCAAGAAATTTTGATTTTACATATTTCTAGTATGATTTTTAACGGATCTCATTGTGTAGGTTTTTAGCAAAAAAACAGCAATGTCAGTTCACGAACTTTGGCTACTTTTGAATTTTAAACACCTCGCAGCTATGAATATCACATTTCTTCGTTACAAGTGATACCGTCATTCTGATCACAATGTTTAGAAATCCAAAACCTGTACCAAAAAACCTGTACTGGCAGCCAAAACCGGATTATCCGGCCGTGGCCACGATGCATCGTATCTCGATTTCCGACATCGTGCTACATTTTTTTATAGTTTTTCACTGATACATGTGTCTTGAGTCTTCCGAGTATCACCGTCAAATATCGGGGCCAAGGTCGCAGCAACCGGAACCGCTGTGTACAGTGTTACTGCAGGAACACGTCTCACATAGTTGATTGCTTAGTCTCAAAAAAGCGCGACGTCATTAACCCCAAATGTTATTCTTTGCTAGCATCAAAAATTAGCTGATGTATTTCCCAGGAAGCGAACATCAACACCGCGTTCTGCTGTTTGGGGGGATTGGGTTGAGGTAGACACGGGGTCGACGCTACATGTCTCCTGAGATTAATTCCCGCTTCGAATCCTGCGCGGACCAGCAGAGCCTTGTAACCCTCCCGAGGAAGGGGTAGGTACCAGGCAATCATCTTACATCAGGTGGTCCCCTGAAGGCACTGCACTGATCAAACAGTAGCAAAGTGCGACCGAAAGTAGCTGGGGACTGCTACGGGGCAGACTGTTCCTGTGTCCTTGCTCGAACGTGACATGATAAAGGTGACATGAAAAGCATGATGTGACATACCCCCTCCCTCTCGAAATACCTCTCTCTTAGAGGGTGACAAAGATTCTTGAAGAATCTTGAGAGCGTGGCGCACCTCAGGGAGTGGCGTTGGCGAGTGCTGTACATGTCCATAATTTTGGTTTCTATTATAGCCCTATCACGGTATTACACGAGTCATCTCTCAGGTGTCATCGTGACATTTTCGTGGACGTGAGAAAGGATAATGTAGGCAAAACCAAACACCAAAATTTATTTTCAGGAAACTGTCAGGTAATCGGTCTTGCGCGTCTACCTAAAGTAATTTTGTGGCAGGAAAAAGAAACTGTAGCAGGATTGATGAGCCAAATTGGCCATTGATGGGAAACACAACGAGGCTGTCTTCAAAATCCTTCATCGGGAGCGGAAATAGAAGGAAAGTGGAAGCTCTAGATTAGACTATTATTATCCCTCCCAAAGGTTCTTGACGATATTGGAAGGTGGCCTTGTAGTGGTTGGGATAGCGTTATTTTCACTCCACGATAAGCGAAAGTGACATTCTCGGGAAGGATTTGGCTCGCGGGGGTCGCGGTGAATTCCACCTGGATACTTCGCAGTTACACCAGTTCACTTCAAAAATATCGAGTTACTAAGCCAAGAATTCCTGGTGTTCCTGAGTCCCTCA